ATAAATTGTAAAACAATGCAGTTATCACATATGGGCCGAGTGCAATAGAAACAGTGTAAATTATGTTAGAATTTCAAACAATTTACACTGTTTTTATTGCACTCGGCCCAATAATAATATGTTCATGTATTTCCATTCGACGCGACCTCATGTCTCGAATAATACGAATAAAGTCTTTGGATTAAACGAAAAAGATCATGCGATTCTGCCAGTGCATGTAAATGTATTTATATAACATGCATAAATTGCGTAATTAATCTTTAAACGATACGAATTTTTAAAATGAAATTTTCACATCACTAAGTCTCGGTGATTGGATTACTATTCTATTCGTTACTATAATCCTTTATATTTTACTTTTCTATTATGAATATTATACCCGTGATAATCCTCTTCCCAGGTCCATTTCCATTACCAATTGTCGGTAGTCTATATTAAAAACCCAGTAGCAAATTTTGGCTAAATGGATTTATTATTTAGCTAAAATCCATGGTGAAATTTTCAAAATCTGGGTCGGTCTACAACGTCAGATAGTACTAAGCAGTGCAGAATTAATTGAACAACTTAATATTCCATCCGCGAAAGGTAATTTCATTATTCGTTATGCGTATCATGAAGGTTTGGAAGCATGGGGAACTGATACCGGGATTACATTTAATCAAGTTGGCGATTTAATCGAAAGTATTTTGATTATGCGGTGACGAATCCTTCGTATCTTCATGGAACAATTGAAATGATGCAAGAATTTTTCATTGAATGCAACATTATTGGAAGGAATTGGGTTCAGATTGTGTTTTGGACTTGAATGCTTAGGCCGTTCTGTTTGCGTCGGATATTATTTTTTTTTGCAACTGGAAAGAAGTTTCATTTCATGGCTAAATTCTTTCTACTGGAAAGAAAATCAATATTGAAACTAAAGATTTGTATATGACTGAAAAAATTGTCAAAGGATTTGAAAATGCATTTGCAGCGATATTTTTCTTGCTTACCACACACTCGTTGTTGAGACATACAATTTATTGGAAGCAAAATAAGGAGCATCTTAAAGCCCGCGATCAATTAAGGAGAATACTGTTCAGGAACGAAAAATACACCGATCGATGAACCATTAAAACCAGATATAATGAATTTGTTAGATAAACCTTTGACTGACTGATGAGTTTATTCGAGTCTATTGCTGCATCAACTGACATTGTGTGTACATGTATTTTTATGGTCATCTTTTATCGTGTTGTCACGATGATTTGAACGAATTCAAATATATCGAAGCTGTATATTATGAAAGTAAGCCACTTCAATTTTATTGAATATTTTATAACACTTTAAACTAACAAAATTTCATCAACGACTCGTATCAACACAGCAGTGCCATTTATGTTCCGTACAAATCAACGCGAAGATGAAATAGCCGGATATCGATGGAAACCAGACACACAATTCGTGGTGTTACTAAGCACCTCATCGAAACGAAAAATACTTTACCGACCCCGAAAAATTTATACCAGAAAGGTTTATCAATGATGGTAATGACGGAAAAAATTTCTTCAAAAAAGCATTTTATCCATGGGGTGGTGGACTAAACATTTGTTCTGCGAGAAATATCGGACTCGCTTTTGTAAAGATGCTGCTGATTCTGTTGTATCGTAATGACGAGGTTAAATTGGTTAATGCGGATAAACAATACTTCAAGATTCCCACATGTAATTAATTGTCCATCTGATCTGCGATCGGCATAATTGAAAACTTTACATGTTATCTTCAAATTCATCACCCGAGGTTGAATAGCTTTACACAGTCTCTCGAGATGTATCTCCTGAAAATCCAACATTACCATCTTCAAATTCATCACCCGGGGTTGAATGCCCTTACACAGTCTCTCGAGATGTATCTCCTGAAAATCCAACATTACCATCTTCAAATTCATTACCCGAGGTTAAATACCTTTACACAGTCTCTCGAGATGTATTTCCTGAAAATAAAGTAGCATTGCCGTCTTCAAGTCATCATCGAACTCCCGTACCTAACAAGTATGTGATTTCACAATTATTTTCTTGATTTAAAATTTAGTAATTCACCAGATTATCTTTTTGCTGATTGTCATGGAAATATCAGCAGCAACACAAGTGTTATTTCAAAAACTGAAATGAAGAAAAAACCTAATATATCATCTACTCACTTATGAAACAATCAAAATTACGTGAGATACTTAAGGCAAGTACAAACATGTATTATTCATATCTATGTGTGTCTTTTGAAATCTAATTTTGTATAATAAAAATTATATCAATATAGAAAGAGGGCTTATCAACATTCGGCAACAAGCAGAAATGATTAAAAGACATGCGGAATACATAACTCTCTATAATACGAACATGAATGCCACAAATCCAAAATCTCATCGTGAACTCTTGTCTGATATGAGGATTTGGGAAACTGCTCAGAGAAACAAAAAACGGAATACAAATTCCTCGGCACAACAGCATCTTAACAAATATCAAGCTCAGTCTAACGAGTTGATTTCTAAAGCAAGACAAAATCTGAGTCAAAGACAGTCTTCTTCATCATCAAGACAAAGAGAGCCAGGTCCTTCTTCTAGTAATAGAATACATGATTTCTAAGTATGCATGCGATCTTGCTTCGCATTTTTATTTTTATTTTTCTTTTATCTCTTTTTTATATTTTATTTTTAATATTAAATTTCATTTTATTAGATATTTTTATTTTTATATTCTGTATTTCTTCAAAATCCTATTAAATAATTGCAATAAAAATTAAAAATAAAAAAATTCAAAAGTTAAAAAATATTAATTAATAAATTCGTTATATTAATATTC